CCCCTCTGTGCCCTCCTGCACCTTCCTGCACCCACCTGCACCCCTCTGTGCCCTCCTGCACCTTCCTGCACCCACCTGCACCCCTCTGTGCCCTCCTGCACCTTCCTGCACCCACCTGCACCCCTCTGTGCCCTCCTGCACCCACCTGCACCCCTCTGTGCCCCTCTGTGCCCTCCTGCACCCACCTGTGCCCTCCTGCACCTTCCTGCACCCACCTGCACCCCTCTGTGCCCTCCTGCACCTTCCTGCACCCACCTGCACCCCTCTGTGCCCTCCTGCACCCACCTGCACCCCTCTGTGCCCTCCTGCACCTTCCTGCACCCACCTGCACCCCTCTGTGCCCCTCTGTGCCCCTCGGTGCTCTCCTGCACCCTCCTGCACCCACCTGCACCCCTCGGTGCTCTCCTGCACCCACCTGCACCCACCTGCACCCCTCTGGCCCTCCTGCCCCAGCTGGAACCGGCCACCAGTGGCCAGCACAGCAGGGCCAGAAACGAGAAATCCCCCCCCCTTTCCAATCCTGTAACACCACTGCCCTTCCAGGCGTGTTCCCTCTTGGCTTTCAGTGATGGGAACTGCAGTGGGAAATGGGTTGGGGGGGGGGGGGGTTGGAGAAAGAAGAGCCTAAAACTTTGCCTCTCCCCTTTATTTCTGCCTTGATTACAATGAATATCTCCGTCACGTGCATCGTTTAGACCCCAAGGAAGAAAAAAAGCAGCTTAAACACCGAGTTAAGATGGTCCAGGATCTTGTTTAATTGCCACAATTTGGATTGCATTGCAGAACAGACCATCAAACATCAGCCAGTCCCCAAAGCCATTGCTCTTAAGTGTGCACCCCAAAGAGCCATTTAATTTTAGTACAGCAGCTTCCTGACACCACTGACTGTTTTGCTTATACCAGCAGATATAATAATAAAATCTACCCTCATGCCCAGCACAAGGAAGTTAAATTGATTTGCACTCACGTTCTCTCTCCTTTTTAATTTCAGGTCTTAATTGGACTCAGTCTTCACATCTGGTGCACCCTGAGAAGCACTGAAGCCCAAGAGTCTTCTGTCTCTCAAGACCTTGTTTGCTCCCAGGTGTCTAAGAAAGGAAACATTGCTAGCAAGGAACGTTTGCCAAAATGTGGCTGGGCTGCTTCTGCCCAGGTCCTGCCCTCTCTCCAAGTTCCTGCACTGGGAATGGCGAACAGCAACAAGTTTTGGCAGCAGCAAGTTTTGACAGCAACAAGTTCTGACAGCAAAAGCCAACAGCACTGCCAGTCTGACAGGACTGCCAGGTTCTCATGGGGAACTGCCTGTGCCTGCAAACACCAAAATTACCATCTGATACTATCACACCAGCCACCTTGGGAACCCACTGGGCCAGGAGGGGTGTGGTGCTGGATCCTGGTGCCACCAAGGTGAGTTAGTTTGGGTCCATCACGTAATGAGAGATCAGTGGCTCTACAGTTACACATGAATTGGAGACAATGGGAAGCCTTTGCCAGCTCATCAAGACCTAAGATGAGGCAGGGACCATGGAGAAGCTTCCAGGCCCTGCACGGGGTACAGGAGATCTTGGTGTGCTCTGCCACAGATTCTCACCTGACTTCTTCATTTCATTTCATCCATTTGCCCCACAATCAGTCTTTCCATCTTCCTTCATCAAAAGGTGAAACCATGGGAGAAGGGCTTGGTTCTTACTGTGTCTGGCAGACACCGGTGCTGGGGCTTTGCTCTCAGCCAGGGCTTTCAGCTCCCCCACCCACTGTGCATCACTCCTTCCTAGGGAAGGATTTATGGCAGGATGAGGCAAGGAGGGGGGGAGGGATTTTGAAGGCAAGGCCACTCTTCCTCTGCAGACTTCCTGCTCTGCCCTTGATCCTGCCCTGCCTGCCTTTGCTTCTTCTCCAACCTTTTGTGTGCTTGAGCGTTGAAAATAACCAGCCGACGTGCTGGCTGCTGTTAAAAGTATCCAGCAATTGGCTGT